AAAACAGTATTAGTAATTATTTAGGCCCTACAGTAGTTTTGCACGGGGAGCACCGCATTTCTGGATCCATAAGCTTTGAGCCTTGCAAGATGACCTATCTTCAAACACACACCCCGGGAACTCCAAACCCTACACGGTTTAGGGTTTAGGGTTTTAGGGTTTAGGTTTACGGTTTTAGGATTTAGGGTTTCAAACCCTGAATCCTGGCGCATCCATTGTTCCTAGGGCCAAGTAGCCAGGTTATTGCTCGTGAGCTTGATGGCAGCATTCGAGAGAAGATTCCTGCACCAGAAACTTGTACCCCGTTTTGGCTTAGTGTCTACCCACAACGCAACAAACTACACTTTAGCATAGCACGGAATGTATAGGTAATTATATCCCTTAACCCTAAACCCTAATCCAGGTATGCTGGGCTAGCGGTAAGGTTTGGAAGGCAGCAGGGTCTGAAGGTAAGGCCCTAGTATCCCGATAAGGACTCCCCAAGCACGCGCTCACCACTATTGCTGGAGAGCACCAGGTACTGTCACCATAAGTATACACATGTATGTATATACATATATATGTATATATACAAACATCTATCTAGCTATCTAGATATCTAGCTATCCAGCTATCTAGCTATCTAGCAATCCAGCGATCTATCTATCTATCTACCTATCTATCTAACTATCTATCTACCTATCTATCTATCTACCTATCTATCTATCTATCTATCTATCTATCTACCTCGTAGAGATCCAGCGCAGGCGGGCAGTGCAGCATGACTTGTAACTTGTGACCGAGGCTAGGGTTCTGAGCATCGTGTTCACGGTTTAGGGTTTAGGGTTTAGGGGTTATTAGGAGTTTAGGGTTTAGGGTGTAGGGGTTAAGGGTTTAGGAGTTTAGGGTTTAGGGGTTAAGGGTTTAGGGTTTAAGGGTCCTGAGCATCGTGTTCACCAAGAAGATCCATCCATACCTGAAGGACGCAAAGGCTTTGTTGGGGCCCCCAACTAGCCTCTCTTACACCCTACATGCCCACTATGAAGGACCTTACGGGCTCTTTTAAAGGGCTTGGGGGGTCTGGGTGTCAGGCTTTAGGGTTGAAGGGGCTGACCTCCCCTCCACCCCTCCTCCAACAACATATCATAACCTTCTAGAAAGCGCGATGCTATGGTGTACGCTGGTCTAATCTACTTCGTTGTAGCAAAACACATCCTGAGTCCCAGCAGAGCAAGAGAGAGATAGAGAGAGAGAAAGAGAGAGAGAGAGAGAGAGATATATATATATATATATATAGATATGTACAGCATTCACAACATACAATGGCATATCAACACCGACATGACATGCTACAGTTTGAGGCTGTGCAATCTGATCAACAGCAAAACACTGCACAATTATCACAACGCACGGATTCACAATGCCTTCTTGCAGGAAACAAACAACTATAACTATGTAGAACGCACCGAAGGAACAAACGACAAGCGGCGACGAGTCTCAATGCACTAATGGGGTTATTCCTCCGAGCACTTGGGCTTCCTGTCTCTGTGACTGTTGTAGGGTTCCGGGCGCCCTCATGTTTTTTGGGAAATGTCTCACATCTGGCCCAACCTCCCCCCAAAAAAAACAAAAACACGATATGAAGAACCAGAGGTTTCAGGTTCAGTGCTTTACCATTGCCACAAGGCTGGTGTGTTCGAAAGTACTCCAATGCAACCCGACATGCACTTGGGCCGGTAAGTTCTGCGTGTGCCTGCGTAGCATCTGTCTGTCTGTCTGTCTGTCCGTCCGTACGTACGTTGGCATGCATGCATGCAGTCATGCACACAAGTAGTCACGAACCAATCCGTACATAGGTTCTTACCCCTGCTAGTAGACAATCCTCGTAGCAACTCCGATCCGATGGCAAGCAGAGTGGCGTGAGCAGGTTACCATCTGCCTTTGTCGGCCAGGTCTTCTTTTGCAAGAACCTCGGCTGCTACAGCTAGGAGGTTCAGGGTTTGAGGTTTAGCATGCAAGGGACGATCACATGTCGTGTTTGAAGGCCCTGATGGGTTCGGGATCAGAGCTGCAGGGCTATATATGGGGTTGGTGTTTTTGGGCTTGGTCTTGAGGTCCTTGGTTGCAGATTTTTCCTGGTCAACACTACATAGGTACACAAGATAACACTGCGACGAAGGTGGGTGGAGGGTTTTCCTTCAAAAAGCTTCACGGGAGGTTTTTTTTTTTTTAAGGTTTTGTAAGGGAGGCTCACTTTGCAGCTACAGTCGGGGGAGAACCTCGTTAGCAATGCGGTAATGGTAGGTTTGGTGGCATTCCCTAACCCCCCAGGTACCTATTATATAGGGTACTAGAGCCCCTAAGGCCCTATATGGTTGGTACCTGGAGGGTTGGGGATTCGCTGGAGAAAATCGTTAGGAGTCGGAGCACCTCCGTGAAGTGGCTGGTCCAGGAGGGCAGACTTCCGGCCGCCTGTCTGGAAGCGTCATACTTTTTGGATACATATAGTCTCCATTGTAGTTCCTTTTTTTGATTTCACCAATTATATATTAAGGGATTCCATAAGGTATCCCCAAAAGGGAACTACAAATGGAGACTATAGGTAGAACTCCAAGAGGCATCAAGCACCAGCCTGCGAAAAGGTCTTGCCACGTCGCATCGGAGCCAGTCTTCATGTAGTGTGTGGGTTATCCAACCACGAAGGTGCAGACTCCAAAAAGTCCAAAGAGAGCTCTCGGCGCTCCCAGAATACGCAACTGACTCGGAGTGTGCATAACAGACTTGCCAGAGAATAATGTGAGTGGGGCCCTCCATCTGTCCTCAATTAGACCCTGAATACCCACTATTTGGGACCATATACCCCTATTCAGTTTGAGGGTACGAGGAAGGTCCTGGATCATCGATAGCTGTCCCGTCGTGTGATGATGGAAGCCTTGTACCGAAGATATTTCTAGTGTACGGCAGTATACGTATAGACTGGTTGATCTACCAACTGCAATCGGCGTCAAACAAAATGCGAAGAGCTTCTGGCCAACCCAAAAGCATCATGCATCCCATCGAAACGTACCCCTCCAACTCTATCTTAGGGTTTAGGGTTTAGGGTTTAGGGTTGGCAATCAACGTGCTAGCCATGTCGATCCAGAGTTTAGCTTGAAACCCAGACACTATCACCAGGACCACTAGCACCAACTGATATGACAGCGACTTAACGCGTCTTCCTCTAAACCCTGAACCCAATGCCCCCCCAAACCGCCCTCATTCATATAAGCCCCTAGCCGCATGCACAAGAACCGAGCAATCTGAACCCCAAACCACTTTTCCTCTTCCATTCGGCTCCCTATAGCGTCCGGTATGTGCTAGAACCCTGTGCAACCGGGACCCGTACTTGGTTTAGGATTTAGGGTTTAGGGCCCGAGTTTCAGACCTTGGCGGAGCTTTAATGCTATCGGTGCTCTGAGGGGTTGGTAGGCTCTACACCCTAAACCCATAAACCCTACACCGAAACCCGAAACCCTAGATCCATCCTTTAGCCAAGAGGCTTTTTCTTGGCCTTTGTGATGGCCAAGCGCTGTTGCAGGCCTGGGCCAGCGCATACATTGAAGTCTTCCCGATCTAGGTACCATAAGTTGCCCTGAATCCTCAACCACGCACCCCGGGTAAACCCTAAACCCTCAACCCTAGGCTCCATAACTTCGACTTAGCAGCTTTTCACCTCAGGGGTCTTGAGCGGATGCAGCTGGGGCCCTTGGGAACGGGATTCGAGGTGCTGGCGTAGGCCGTACACAATATTCAGATATACTTTACACACATAATTATATGTAGAGAGACAGAGAATATCCTACATAAAAAATATATACAGTATCCGTATGTGTACATGTAATATATATATATATATATATGTATAATTATACATACATACAGTTACATACATACATACATACATACATACATACATACATACATACATACATACTTTAGGGTTCCAGGTCAAAGGCAAAGCTTCCGGAGGCTAGACTACTATTACTATACTATTACTCTACTGCTACTATTGCAATAATACACTATGACTGTGTTATGTTATACGATATACGGCAATATACTATAATCTATGGTTTGATGTCAGAGTTTGGACACAGGTTTAGGTCGAAGGGTTCACGCTTAAGGCTTGAATACCTCAGCCTCAAAACCCGATGCCCTGAACCTCAAAAGTGTTAGGGTGAAGGGTTTAGGGAAGCGGGTGCAAGCTTAACTTAGGGTTGAGGGCAGTTTGGGCAAGACCCGAACGTCAACTCTAAACCCCAGAGACCCTATAGACCCTAAACCCGATAAGCCTTAAACTTTACCGACCCTAAACCGAAGCAACCTATGAACCCTAAACCCTAAGCCCCAGAGACCCAAAACTAAACCCTAGCGACCCTAAACCCTGCCCTAAACTTTACAGACCATACACCCTAACCCTAAACCCTAAACCCTAAACCCTCTAGTAGCCCTAGTAGCCCAGAAGTCCTAAAAGGAAGCTCAAAGTCCGAGTCCCCCTGCCGTCTTGGCCCAATTCGCTCTCCTTCTGCTTCCTGGGAGGGTTTAGGGTTTAGGGTTTAGGTTTTAGGGTTTAGGGGTTTAGGGTTTAGGGTTTAGGAGGTTTACGGT